GTGGCACAACTCTTTTTTAGTTCATACCTTCTAATATCCTTCTGGCTTTTTCGGCCTGTGCAGGACACTCTGTAGGAGGAGGAAGACTCATGCTGCCTCCAGGCTAGAGAGTCTGAGGAGGGTCTTCACTGCCACAGTCTGATGAAATGGAAAGGGAAAATAAGCAAAGCTTTTGGCAGCTTAAGGAACAGAGACGTGTAGGGGTGGAGAGCACAGGATTCTGTTCTAGGAAGATGTCTGTGTGAGGGCTGTGAATGGAAGGAGTTAAAAACTAAATGAAGCCTCTCTGGTTTGGGTTAAGGTAGGGCTGAACACAAGAGCTTGAAAGCTGAAGTGTATCTCAGGCTACTCCAGAGGCCTGAAGTAAGGCTGCCATCCCAAATTGTCCCGTCTAGACTACTGCTGCCAGAGCATGGCTGGGGCCAAAGAGCAAGGAGTCAGGAGTTACATTTGCATTTCTTTGCTTCTAAGTGTATTTGATAGGGAATTTTTAGGACAACAAGCATGGCTAATATACAGCACAGTGTAACTAAAACCTCACACTCAGAAATTACAACTAGAGTCCTCGAAAAGCTCCTGGAGTTGGTGTAAACTTGATATGACACAGTATTTTAGCCTACCTGTTTGGAGCTGCATTTGTTCACTAATCAACCTTCAGAATTCAGGGGTCAACCATTTCAGTCTTTCTGTAACCCTGTGGACTACAAAGGTAGTTCTTCCTTTTTTTTTTTTTTTTTTAACTGGAAGGTGAGAATCTCATATAATTGCAGGATTTTCAGCTGTAAAAGGCAAGGATTGCTCTGAGATGAGAGCACAGTCACCATAGCTAGAGGCACTACAGTTTTCTGGGAATTGCTGGACTAAGGCCCTCCCCAGCCTTCTGGGAACGAGGAATTGTTGGTTCCTCTTTCCCATTTTGTTTCATGAGACTTCTCTTTAGTGGCTGAAGCCTCTTTTCCACCCCTGGTAGTGTTGACAATGTCAACCTGAGCTCTGGGGAGCAGCAATAGGTCCAAGCAGGTAAGCTGACACCTCAGTCTGTGTTTAGTAGCTCTGCCTGTCTGCCCTGGCACAACGGTGCATTTTTTCCTAAGGGCCAGCATCCCTTTATGCTGCAACGCTTGTCGTACTCGCTGTCATTATGATGTGACCCTTCAGCCCCATACCCAGGGCAACCAGCCGTCTGTGTAGGGCTGTTTCTCTGGAGCTAGTGAAGCTGTGGCTCCATCTCCATCCCAAGACTTCACCCTCTGGGAACGACAGCTCAGGCGTCCCATGTCATTCAGACAGTTTTCCTCCCGCTCCTTACCCCAGCCCAGCGCCACAGTATGAGGAGCTTGTTTGCCATTCCTCTCTCAGCAGCTGGATTTATTAGGAGCCCAGGGTGGGAGGAACTGTGTTGTCGCTCGCATTCAGTGCGCTCCTCAAAGGGCAGAGTGAGAAGCTGAGAACAAACCCAAGAGCTGTAGCTGGTTTCTGTGCGGACACACACACCTGCAGTCTCGCAGGACACAACTCTTCCCTGTCGTCTCAGTCAAACCCGAGCTTCCTCACTCAGCTCAAACTTTCCTTTGGTACAGTCAGAGTGACCTCTCACCTGGGGCTTGCCTGCCCAATTTGTAAGCCCTTTAATAATGGTGATCCATTATCCTACTTTGCACATCAAAACGCACGCAGGCTCCTCCCAAACAAGAGAACTTGGCAGATGAGCCGTGGGTAAAAAGCACAATAGTTTATACAGATTATGCTGTTTGAGAGTGTCATTTCTCTTTCTCCTCAGCAGAAGAAAAGATTTCTTCCCCTCCAAATCTTACAGAAGCAGTGTTTATAAGTAATCACTGCAGTGTTAGATTTATCCGGACACAAGACCACTCTGCTGTGGATGTGCCATGTAATAAGGATGCAGATGAAAAAGCCTCAGGGTGTCCCAGTGTCTCCCCAAGATCAGGCTTTCCCTTGCTGCAGCATTGCCCATGGGTCTGCATGCTGCATTGCGGCCCTTTGTAACTCCTGGCTTTTGTCCGTGTCTGAAGGGAGCTCGTGCTTTCTGTGATCATGGAGCATCTCACACAAGAGGTCTCTAATTTGAGCCGAGGATTAGCTAAGTGTCTGGGAGACTCTTCGTGGAGAAAATGAAATAATCACAATGCTTTCTGGCTTCTCTTAGAGGCTTCAGCTTCTGGTGTCGCTGTGCAGTGAGTGTTATGTCTGTGTGCATCACAGTCCCCCCCGAGCCACAAGTGGTGTTTCTTGGAGCTCCTTCCCTTCTGGCACCGCAGGAGGGGAGTCCCTGCAGGCGCAGACAGCTGCACACACTGGACGTGCCGGACTGCGGGGAGCGGGAGGGACCGTCACTGCAAACGTGGGCCCTGCTTCACGGCCCCTCTGCATGGCATCGGGCCGCTTCTGTCGACACAGCCCGCCATACCCGCCACAGAGAACCTGGTGGCATCTTTTAGATCTATGTAAATTCTGCTGTTGATGAATTCAGCAGCTTCCTCTTGAAAACCTTTATTGGGTGACTTTCACACTGCCCCCACAGAGCCCTGTTCCTTGAAGTCAATGGGAGATCTGGGTGTGGTGAAAAGTCAAGATCAGACCTGTAAATCAGATGATAGAGAGGTGAATCAGTAGGAAATGCTTTTGGGGAACAACATATTCCTTTCCTGTCAATTAAAAGCAGAGGGAATGGCCCAGGAGTAGCTTCTCTCTGACATGTAAAGGACTCTTTTTCAAAGCATAATCTAATAGGGCTTTCTGGGAGGTTGAGGACATAAAAGCACGCTCGTGCTAAATACATTGTTCAGGCCATCTAATAAAATCCATTTCTGAAGAAGGATATGTAAATTTGTGTGGTTACTCCAGGGATGCATTCAGACCTCTTGTGCCCTATTAATGTATCCCATGGCAGAGCCCAGTCCCTGGCAAATTGACATGCTCTGTGCTATGCCCAAAAAATGTTTGATGTGGCTATTCAGGCTTCAGGTGCTCAGCCCCAGGGAGCGTATTCTGCTGTGTCCAAATGTCTTAGGTACACCAAAAGCCTCCCTTATTCACAGTCTGCTCCTGAAATATCCATGGCAGATCACTGTGAAATTATGTGCCACTTCTGTCCTTTTGGTTGCTGAGTTTATTTAATTACTGTTATTCCAGCTTTCTTTGTGACTTTCCACTCTTTTCATTGTTTCATAAGCCAGTGGTACCTGGCCTGCTGTGGGTCATAAGTCATCAAAAGGTTGCCTGTGACATCACTGCAAATAAAATAAAACTGCACAAACACGTGCCTGAGCATGTGGAGAGCTCAAGTGGAGAGACGGAAAGAGCAATCGACTGTTCCAGCTTTCACTGCCAGCAGCTGCGGCACTCCTGCTGCCCCGCTCGGGTGGGCTGTGCTGGCGTAAGGGCATTCTCCCGGCCTTTGTCCCCAGAACAAGAAGTGGGTTTCCATAAACACACAGGCTGGGAAATGCAGTTGCCAGCCTGGGACGTGGCTCCCGTTGCCTGTGCTCACGGTATTTCCTGTGCTCCTCCCTTGCCCCTTCACCGGGACTCTGCTTCTGCCACCACCCCATCCTGGGCCTTTCTGTGCTGCTGGGACAGTGTCTGGGAGCCGAGTGCCTTTTTGTGAGCTGTTTCATCATGTTGTGTGAATCACGAACAGCAGCGGGGCCAATAAAAGAGCCTTTGAGTGCTCTGCAGATGGAAGATGTCATACTGGGAAAATCAATCCACAGATCTGCTCTTTGATGGAATCTAGCTGCAGGCACATGCTTTCATGTGCAGCAGCATCTTCCCAGACAGATTATTCCCTTGCTCACATTGTGTACGGTCGTGCAAGTCCTGGGATAAGCAGCCTGGCTCTGCAACGCTTTTCTAATCACAACTAGAGTTCCTTTCTCATGCAGGGCACTTCCCTTTAGGGCTGTTTGGGGACAGATGGGAGAGAAAACAGACTGGCAGTGACCATGTAACTGGGTAAATATAGACCCAGGAATAACAAGTGCCAGTGCACCTGGGCATTGCAGGGGAGACCGGCTCAGCGGTGTGAACGGCGGTCACCTGTCCAGCCAGCCCCAGCACAGTGCACATTGAGGTCAAGGGGATAAGAGGGCAAATATCTGGTTTCCTCAACAGTTTTAAAGAGAAAAAAAAAAAGGTACAGCCACCTCCATTGTGAGGAGCTAAATGATAAGGATCAGCCAGGAGCTCTGTTCAGACAGCTGGGCAGAAATGCTCTGGAGTTCTCATCAGGTGAGGAGACACATTGGAACATGTTGTGATACTTTGTTCTATTACTCATTATGGTATTTGCACGTGGAAACAGCGTGAAACTCCCGACAGGCTGAGTATTGGCCGTGCCAACCTCCAAAGAACCTCCTTCAACGGAGAAAGGGTTCCCTTTGTACATGCAGTTCTCATATCACACACCGAAACTATAATAAACCCAACCTGTGAACTCGTTACATTTTTATGAGCCTACATTTGGGGCAGGAGTTTCTTTTTAGTGAGATTTTGTTTGGTATCCAACAGCTAAAACTAAAAATAGTAAATGACCACCTAATCTAACCTTGCGTGACTCAGCTACTTTCTCCCAGGTCTATTTGGTTTTTATCTCAGTGTCAATTATTGACTATTAGCAGCCTTCCACAAGAGAACTAGCTAGTGCCAGTCCAGGGGAAGCATGGGAAAGTGCAGTGGAGTGGAAGGGTTTGTGAGCTTTGAGTCCTGAGCTGACACCGCCTCCTGGAGCACCTCCCCATCCCTTTTGCCTTTGTAACCCCCACCCTTACACCCATAGATGTCCTAAACATATCTTGTGCCAACATGAAAAGGCATTTATTTACATGAAAAAGCAAGGCCAAGATAGTGCCAGTGTGCTTTGTATTTGGTAGGAAAAGCAAACAGGTTTTGTGTTTTAGAAAAAAAAAAGTTATTTCTTTTCATTTAGCTTTTCTTTCTTATTTTACATCTCATCACATATTTCTCTCCCTCCTTTGCAGCCCACAGCCCTGGAAGCTGGTTTCCACCAGGAGGGGCCACTGTGCCTTTCCCACTCTTGCCTGAGCTCTGGCACTGCTCCACATCATGCAGGACAGCAACAGCTAAAGAAGGATGGGCAGAGTGAAATTCCACCCAAAGCAGTTTCATTCAGCCATCCCCAGATTCTCCGGTAAGTCTTGCTACAACTTACTATTTGGTAACTCTGTTCTATCTATCTATCTATCTATCTATCTATCTATCTATCTATCTATCTATCTATCTATCTATCTATCTATCTATCTATCTATCTATCTAAAATAGTCTGTCCATCTTTCCTATGCTGCACTTCAGTGACTTCCTCATAACAGTTTGGTCTCTTAATTGTTCTGCTGTTTGTTCTTCCGAAGTGCACAAAGGTTATTCCACTTCAGATCTCAGAGTTAATGGCAGACAAAAGGAAGTGGGTGTGGAGTAGCTTATATGTGCACTGTGAAAACCTGGTGCCCTTTCTATTTATAGCCCCACTTGAACTTTCATTCATTTAGTTGCTATATTGGTATGGCAAACATTCCATCTCCCAGGGGAAGTACGTTAGCAGTGCAGGTAAGCAGGAGAGAAAACACACTGGCCATGCATGCAAATACTGAATGGCCTAGAAACCACTGCTGTTCCCAGAAAGCATATAGAACCAAAGTGATACTGAAGGGGAGCTTCCCTGGCACACTCCTTCAGATAACAGGCAGAGCAGTGCTTTGAGGTTAACCCAGAACTTCTTATTGACTTCATCTCTTTTATTCCATTTTAAATCAAAGGAAGTGTTAATGTATCTGCTCTCGGTGGCAGAGGTTGGTCTGATGAATGGTCACTTACCCAAGCTATGCCTCCTGGGTACAGAGCTGGCTAATGAGCATTAAGAACTCTCGGGGGGCCTTTTAGTGCTGGGCAAGGGGGTTTCCTCAGCTGGTCAGTGTCTCACATCTGTCTGTTATAGAAACAGTGACAAGTTACAGATAAAGTATTTAGGGTGAGGACACTGGACAGCCAGATCCAGAAACTGAAAGATCCTTTTCTTCCTGGAAGAAATAAGGGTCTTGCTATTTGAGGATCTGGCCCTTCTTCCACCATGTGGAGACGCCGAGACATATTTTATTATAACCTCATATCTCACGTCAGAGGAGGATCCCATGTGGGTTTTTTGGGTGTCAGTTATTATGGAGCTGTTAGAAAGGCAAAAAGAGAAAGAAAAAGGAAAGAGAAGTAGCAAATGGTTTTCCTAACTTGTTACCTTTACTGTCTGTTCCTTGGAGAACAGAGAAGTCAGTAGAAAAACACATGCCTTAGGAACTTCCTGGGTGGGAATGAAGGGTTTGATTCCTTGCTAATAACGAAAAGCAGAAGTTGCCAGCCAGTTCACCGATGGAGGGACTCCTTAGTGCTTTTGAGACAGGTACCAGCACCGGTCACAAGCATCTCCCCTTCCTGTGGGAGAGGCACCACTTGCTGTGTTTTTCCCTCATCTAATCCTGCCTACTCATGCTCACAGGTCTTTGTTTACCCAAGCTGCCTTTACAGGTTTGGATTAACCACTTGGGTCAATGCTGTAGCCGGGTGAGGAACCCACCTGTAGCACAGGGGGCACTGACAGCTGCTGAAGGTCTCCCTCTGGCTCAGGGGAAACCTTTACCTGAAACACGAACCCCTGCCCTACAACCAGGTACCTGTGGTCTCTATTTCAGTCAGGGGTTTGCAGGACATGTGCTGGGCCTGTTGTATTAGCACCAGGCTGCTTGGATTTGGACTCCTTCCAGAACTTCCCCGGGTGTCACTGGTATGAGGATTTAGGTGCCCCTTCACCCGACACCTATCCCCAACTTCTACCCACTCTCAGTTCCCCTGCCTCTCACTTTTGCAAAGTGGTCTCTGCACCTCAGCTGGGCCACGGAGGAATCCACACCAAGCGACTCCCCTCACCCCTCCTACCTTACCTCAGGGCTTGGGCTACAGCTGCCAAAATCCGCTAGTCAATGAATGAACTGACTGCTATTGATACACATCTTTGCTTCTGGTTAGGGATGCAAAATGAGAATTTTCAGCCTGTTCCTGATAGATACTGAGGACGCAGATGCAAAATGGTGTTTGCTTCAGATTGGTAGTTGTTTTGTAAAAAAGAAGGTGAATACACTCAGGGATTTTGAGCCAGAGGAGCTGCTTTCTATTAGGTGCAGGGAAGGGTTCCCAGTCATTCCACAGGAGGGAATACAGTGGAGCCACAAGTCTCATTTTGAAGAAAACGGAGAACCCGTTACTTTGACTTCCCTCTAATTGCATGTGAGATTATCTAAAGAGGTGGAAGGTCTTCCACTAGATGGAATAATAAAAGAGAATTTCCTTAATCCTTCTCTGCAGTGGGTTTGCAGAGACAAACAACTTTGCGAGCAGGTTGTTCAGCAAGCGTGGCGCTTTCCCTCCGTTCTGGGGTTGAGATCTGAGGGCAGCAGCCAGCACTGAGGAGAGTCCTGTGACTCTAAGGGAAGATGTGTGTATTGATACTGACATCTCCTCTGCTTGAGCAATCCTGGACGTGGGGCGAGGTCATTGGCACTTTCATGTGCTAGCCAGGCTTGGATTCTCACACCCTTATCTCTTACACTGGCTAAGGCGTCGCTCTGTTTTCTCTTCTATCTGCATAACCAGGTGTTGAGCAACTGGAATGTCATTCCACAAATTCTGACTGGCTTGGGTGTGTGCTCCTCACAGGAATTACTTCTGGGAATCACTTTGGTGGGCCAAACAATATGGTTTTCAAAAATTATGTTACTGTACAACATGCATTTAAATGAATTGCATAATTAAGCCAAGCGTGATGCCTCTGTTGCAGAGTAGCAGACTCCTCTGCCTGCTATTCCAGAGGGTACTGCAGCTCCGAGGAGCTGTCTGTTACTTACATAGTTAGGAGATTTATTTACATTGCCTATATGTGCTGGCAGGGAATCAAGGTTTATTTCACATTTTTCGTTGTTTCAAAGTCACAGCAGCACTCTTCATCCTCCACAACCCCACGGCTTCATAATTCAGCCCCATCCATTTCGCGCAGCCACAAGCAGGACACATTCCCAAATGCAAGTGACAGTGCAGCAGACACAGAAGTCGGGAGGGAGCAACTTGCGACACTCTCCAAAGCCTAGGATACACCTGGCCTTGGATTTTAAATATGATCCAAAGCTTTTTTATCTAAAGACAATCAAGGGCATTAAAATGAGAGCGGCAAAAGAGAAATGGGGCCTTGAAGAGGGCATAGTTAACGTTCTCTTAGCAAGGCACGGGGTGAGACAGCTGCACTGGCTCATGGGAACTGACCAAATCTGCAGAATAGGAAAGGAATCAGTTGTGCATTTGTGTGCAGCCCACCAGGCTTTAGCAGTTCCTGTAAAGGTAGAGATTTCCACTGGAATCCCGAGGGCTCGAGGACAGCGTGCCATCTCTGATGCTTGAGCTCCCTGTCAGTTATGTGCACCGAGTGACCCTTCTGGACATCTCCTGAGGTTTTGCTCCTGAGGTTTTGCACAGGGAGAGCAATGACAAGGTGAGCTCACACCTTCTTCCAGACCATGGCCACGTGTGCAGCATTAGGCAGAGGATTCTGCCACAGTTAGTGGCATGGCTTTGTGATACCTTGAAATGTGGCCCCTCCAGAGCATTTCTAATCAAAGGTAGATCCAGCTGTAATGGTAAGGAAAGCTGCTCAGCAGAAACTTTACCTGGCAGTCGTGTAGCTGGGATATGTTCTTAGCTTACTGTACAACCACATTTCAGCTGTGCATTATGCAACTGCTATTAGCATTAATGAGTTACAAGGCTCATATACTGATACTGTTCCTAGAAACAGGCTGCCCAGGAATGCACTCTTTTGGACTAGTTTGGGGAGTTAGACGGAGCAGAGGGGACCTGTGTACTTGGGTGCTCTATGGGATACCTGTATCCAAACCCAAACGTGGGTCTGGGCTTCAGCTGTGGATTTCAAAGTAAATAAAAAAGTGCCTCTCTTTGGAGTCAAATCTGGATTCTGGTTAGGCTAACGATGTCTCCCACATGCTTGGGAGTTTGATATCCAGCCTGATGTGGATCGAGGCGACAATTGAAAAGCAACTATTTTTAAAAACTACTAACTAAAAACCAAAGTACAATTAATCCCAGACCATGGAGATACCCTGCCCATGGAAATCTTAGTTAATTTTTGCTATGAGTAAGATGTAAATAACTGTCAAATGCTAACATTTCTAGTACTGGTGTATAGAAGATACACTTAGGAGAAGCTTCCTGCCTTAGCAGGAAGGTCTGCAAGGGCTGTGAGTGCAGCTTCACCCATCTCTAATAGATCACTGATATCAAGAGATTGGCATTGGTTTCCAGTGACTGAATTTCTTAGTTGGTTTTTGGGCTAGCAGAGTAAACTCCAGTTTTCTGAGGCTGACAGGGATGAGGTTCCAGTCTCAGGTTTGGATTGCCTCTCCAAAGGCTGTGCTTGCTCTCAGCAAGGACTGTTTGCACATCCAGACTAGGCAGCAGTGCAGCCAGGGACTTACTCCACAAACCGGTACTGACTTTGCTGGTGCAAAATGCAAACACCCTCACTTACCTCTTGAAAATCCTGGCCAAGGTTTGAGATTTGTTATCTGCTTGGATGTGGGACTTCCTATCATGTGCCCTGGCATCTGCACAGGGTTTCCTTTGGAGTCTGCAGGGAGACAGGGAGACGATGGAAGCTGTAGTTGAAAGGCAGCCGGATCAAAGGTGGGTGATTGGCATCAGGACAGGGTTTCTGAGCGCAGCCTCCCCCTGGGTCGCACCCACAGCTGGGTCCCTCCTTTGTTTGCACGGAGCCTCTGGGTAAGGGGCAGCCTGAGCACGGGGCACACGTCAAACAGGCACAGGCAGGAGCCCAGGCCAGCCACGTGGCTGGGACCAGCGAGATGTGACTGCAGATTCCCGGCACGCTCTGGGCTAAACACGCGACCTGAAAGACTGGTGGGAGGTGGGCAGGGAACCAGGGAATAAAAGCCGGGGTTCTTGAGCACGTAAACAATAGAAACCACAGAACAGCCACACTTGCTGTGGAAGATGGCAGCGCGCTTTTGGGGCCAAACAGCTGGCCAGATGCTCAGGCTTGAAAGGCGGTGACTCAGAGCCA